TGCTTATCCATATAACATTAATTTGATTGCCAATCCCTAATATTTTGGCTTAAAAGCAAAATTTTTGGCCATACAAAGCTAAAAAGAAACTCTCCCATAAGCCCATGGAAGTTTATTCCATGATGACGTCATCATTCCGATCAAATTTTTAAATGAGAGTGATGAGTAACCATTTAGCCAAGTTGTTGTTACATTTCATATCCACAGTATATGTAAAAGTGACCAAAAACATAAATTTATTTCCCCTACCCCCATCTTAAATAGTTTAAAATAGGAAATTTTAGGTCAAAATTTCAAAGTGCTGTAAAAAAAATTGCCCAAGCCCTAGGCATGGGGATTTTTTTTCTGAGACACTATAGGGTATGCTGATTCAGAAAAACCAAAAATTAATTTTCCTTTACTTTTTTCCCGCTAAAGTTCATTTCAGCATTTTTACAACCAGACTTAGTATTGTTTTACTTACTAGACTACTGAGAAGTGTCGGGCACTTTGTTGATAGCTAGTTTTTTAGTCCATTCTAAAGATCGAGAATTAACAACGTACAGTGTTTCATTGTTCAACCTTAAGTATTCTATTTTAGCCAATCTTGGGATGTCTCAAAGTAGAAGAAATAATTATCAACAAAGTGCCCGAAACTCTCAGTAATTTAGTAGTAAAACAATAAACACATAGGCCCTATAGAATAGACGATTCGACGTTGTAAAAAGATACAACCCAATCAAAACATAACGCTGATATACTTGTTTCCTGTGCAGAGGCACTTTACTTCACCTTCGTCATTGATTTTTCTGAGCAGTATTTCGAGATCTACTGCACGAGAATCATGAAATGGTTGATTTAACCTGGTAGTAGGTACCGTACTGTACCAATAGTAACTCTAGTGGAATAGACCTTTCCGGAGTGTCAATCAAACTTAACAACTGACTAATCAGAACAACGCTAGGAATACGCGCGCGTCTCACAAACACACGTGTTGTCCCACAAACGCACGTGTTTGCGTATTTTAGCATTGTCGTCTTGTGGGACCTTAGCAACAAAATCCAATGGGCGGGGCTTAGCGGAAAGGTCCATTGGAGCAAATGGAAATAAAGTGCTTTGCCGAAGAACAAAAAGCCATTTTACTCTTAATTATCATTTTATTTGAAGTAAAATCATTAAAATAAATGATGATGGTAACTGTGCTTACATGAATATTTACACTGCACAGTATTTTATCCTAAAAACGCATGTATTGTTTTACTGTATGTGAATTAATGTCTAGTCTTTTAAAGAATGGACCATCAATGTATGTATGACGCGGCTGATGCAAAACAATTAAAAAAAAATAATTGATGAACGTTTTCTCAAACAGTTTATTGATCAATCGATTAATTGAATACCACTATACCGATGCTTCCATTAATGAGGCCTACAGAAAATTGATAAATTGATCGTGTATAGTAGAACATGTTTTGTTACTTTAGAAGCCATCTTCCAAAACCTAGCTCTTAGTAGGTCGCAACCGAATTTGAAACGTTTTATATTCATCCAGAAATACACTTTATATAATACATTCCCCAGGGGTTAAGTGTCTGTGGGAATATACACATTTGCTTTTGTAGTGTACAGATTATTTCTGTTAATTTAAATAATTTAATGAGGCAGTTTAGGAGGAAACAAATACTTGTATTGTACATACCATGATTCTTTCGTCCTCGTATACAGTAGTTCATGAAATTCATGCTTGACATAGTTTAAAGATTACTTCTGTAATTTAATTAATTTAATGAGGTAGTTTATGTGTCAATTCTTTCATTTAAAAATTGTAAACGGTAAAGATGAGGAAACAAAATATCCACCAACAAAAGTACCAAAGGTTAACAATCATTAATAAAATTGTTTGTCGTTGGAAAAATTTACATAGCAATAACCACTCATTTACAACGATAAATCATAACCACATCTGTACCACGGTTGATCCTGACAGTGGGACACACTCCAGCCCCACAATTCGAAATGTAACGTCATGAAAATTGTTAAAATCGTCGCTAACACAATCAAAGTAGATTGTGTTAGTTCGTGAAATCACAGTAGCGCGTCAAAACGAGCGCGTATTGGTTGTCAAGCAATTTTGTATTCTTTACCACACAAAAAG